TTGACAGATGAAAATTCAAACCTTTCTCTCTCTCTGTCATGGAATGTGACAGAGAGAGAGGCCGTTTAGATCCATGTGAAGTAAATAATAGAATGTACAGGTAATCCTTGTTTAGCAATTAACACCTAAACTTATATACCACTTCACAGTGCTTTTACAGCCCTCTCTNTAGCCATTTGTCTGAAATGGTATAGGGTTTCCTCTGTAGGCAGGGGGTTGGACTAGAAGACCTCCAAGATCCCTTCCAACTCTGTTATTCTATCTAGTTATAATGTTAACATTGAAACCTCTAGTATATAACAGATATTTTGATATGAATTGTGATAATCCATAGGGCTGTGTGGGGAGCGGTCAAGCCCCTTTGCATCCGAGGGGAGCAGAAATGCCGGAGGATAGCAAAAAGGGTTCGCACTTGTGCTCCCTTCAAACCTTTCTGGGGAGGCCTGATTAGTTATTTTGGAGGAGGAAGAGTTCAAATAAAGTGTAGTGATTTTTGCTGGAGTTATAACTCGCATTTATCTTGTGCAGCTCAAGGAAGCGTACATCCACTTCCCTCCTCCTCTTTCCCCCCAGAACAACCTCCCTGCAAGGTGGGTTGGACCGAGAGAAAAAAATAATCACTAGGCTGACTTCATGTCTAGAATTCCTGGTCTCCCAGTTTCTAATCTAGTATCTTTAATCTCTAGAACAGTGTTTTTCAAACTTCGTCCCTTTGTTTGTTAGTTTGTCAAACATGTACGGGATAGCAGGTATAAGTATGAACATGGACATGGACAAATGAAATGAATAAAAGTAAATGGGGACAGTAGGACAGGGATGGTAGGCCTGCTGGTGATCTTATGCATGCCCCCCTTTATGGACCTCTTAGGAATGAGGTGAGGTCCACAGCAGACAATTTAAAGTTGAAGTTGTGAAACTTTAACATGGAAAGTCAATTCCTCCCGTTTGTGAGTTGAAGTCCATATATCTTAAAGTGGCCAAGTTTCTCCTCGGGATGCCATTATAGGGCATTGCATGCCAAAACAACTACTAGACACACAACACACACACACACACCATGCTATCACTCTGCTAAACACATAATGGCACTAACATATGTCTAAATTCCTTGTGTGTCTATTCACACTTGGCCAATAAAGAATATTCCATTTCCAATTTGAAAAAGACTACACCAAACTGACTCAATTTATGGACTTCAGTTAAATTAAACACCTATTTTTCAAGATCATAAAGGTCTTGAAGCCCTTATTTTTTAATTGCCTATTGAATTAAGTTTCCAGATTTCCCCACTGTAGAAATTCATTGAATTACTGCATCTCATAGGGCTGACTTTCTGGAAAGCTTGAAGGAGGGAGAACTTATACACTTAAAGTTGGATCATTCTCTTTAAAGCTTCCACTCTCTGATTCTTGTCCCATCCTCTTTTTAAGCATGTTGCTGCCATCTAGCGATCATCTGAATTTTGGCAGCCCAGGTTTCTTGTCCAGTCTTGTTAGTTACGAAGTCGTGTCCGACCCATCGCGACCCCATGGACAACATTCCTCCAGGCCTTCCTGTCCTCTATCATCCCCTGGAGTCCATTTAAGTTTACGCCTACTGCTTCGATGATTCCATCCACCTCATTCTCTGCCGTCCCTTTCTTCTTTTGCCCTCAATAGTTCCCAGCATGAGGCTCTTCTCCAATGAGTCCCTCCTTCTCATTAGCTGGCCAAAGTACTTGAGTCTCATCTTCAGGATCTGGCCTTCCAAAGAGGAGTCAGGGTTGCAAAATGGGACAAAACTCACTTAACTAATGTCTCGCTTAGCAGCATACATTTTCAGCTCAATTGTGGTTGTAAGTCAAGGGCTACCTATAGTAAGGTAGTAGTATTTCACAGATAAATTATTTTTGTTCCTTGCTTGATTTAAAACAATCCAAATGAGATTGACTGAAAGAATAAAATCTGTCTCTAGTCATTTTCACCTGCTTTTTGAAAGACCAGTTTTAGGGGGGAGGGCATTATTTGGGGGGAGGGCAATGGCAGCTGTGTAAAAATGCTCTTGTGTAATCACCACTTATGACCTTCCCAATTGGTTTCTAACATTTAAAGTCCACTTGGGAATCTGGATTGCTTAATGATCCCATAATTCACTTAACTGCAGTGATTTGCTTAATTGTGGCAAAAAAATGATCATAAAAATTGAGCACAGTTTGTTTAAGAACTGTTTTGCTTAGCAATGGAAATTCTGCTCTTAGTTGTTGTAAATCAAGGATGTAGAGGTAAAGATTCCCTTCACACATACAGTATGTGCTAGTTGTTCCCGACTCTAGGGAGCGGTGCTCATCTCTGTTTCAAAGCCAAAGAGCCAGCGCTGTCCAAAGACGTCTCGGTGGTCATGTGGCCGGTATGATTAAACGCCGAAGGCGCACGGAATGCTGTTACCTTCCCATCAAAGGTGGTTCCTATTTTTCTACTTGCATTTTTACATGCTTTCGAACTGCTCAGTTGACAGAAGCTGGACAAGTAATGGGAGCTCATTCAGTTACTCAGCACTAGGGATTCGAACTGCGGAACTGCCAACCTTTCTGATCGACAAGCTCAGCGTCTTAGCCACTGAGCCACCACGTCCCTAAAAAATCAAGGACTACTTCCATGTAAATTGCAAATCCTTTCTATGCTTCAGTTATTAAGGCCAAGGAGCCTGTGCAAGGCATCTTAGAGGTAAATCCAATGTATCAAAGGGGCTCAAAGCTCAGGGAATTTGCCCAGATCGTATTTCATAAAGCCACTGGATGATATAAGTCTCTCATTCCCTTTTCTGAGGAGCAAAACCTTCTTCAATTGGCTACATCACCTTCAGACCACCAACCTATCTGGTATAGCCTGATTAGATCAGACATATTTGCTGAAGCATTTGTTAGTGGCTGAAGGGCTATGGGGAAAGCCTGCAAGCCCAAGTATCTGAGATTATAAGTATCTGAAGATACTTATAGTATCTAAAGATTATAACCTGGAGCTGCCAAGTCCTATCTTTCATGAATTGGTTTAATTCTTTCACAGCGAATGGTTACCAGCAGACCATGAAGAAATCACTCCCATGGTTGGACTAATATTCCCCATAAAACAGCATCGGCCAAAGGAGTTATAAAGCAACAATTCTGCAACAAATTCAGAGCATAGAAGAAATCTCAAAAAACATTGTCAGTGCTCTAAAAATGTCTTGGATTCAGACTGAAGCCAGAATTAAACAAAGCAATATTGTTACGGATACAAGTAAGCATGAGCCAAACATCACAATTCTGCTCACCTGCTTATCTTTTTAGAAACCATTTTTCAAAGGTTCCACTGAAAGAATCTTAAGATGTATGGCTAGATTTTTTTTTATGGAGTCTAATTTTTCTTTCCAAAATGCATTGGAAAAAGTATAGAACATACTAGCAAAGGAGGAAGTTCCCAGTCCAGGAAAAAAACACATAAAACTTCTGTCTCGGTTCATGTATCATGATAAATTATGAAGTTTGCTGATTTGGGATAAGTGCGCTAGAATGCTTAGCTTATTGGAGACCACGGTTTAAATTTTATGCAGTGTGTAAATATAGCCAACTCTGGCTTGTTAAGTGACTCACAATGTAGCAGAATACATAAATCCAAGGATCCTGCTTATTATAAAAATGTTCACCCAGGGAGAGGGAGAAGAGTATTTCTGGTTTGAGTACTCTTCTCACAGTTGGGCTGATTAAAAATAGCACACAATGCAGCCTGTTTGGACAGAATTTTTGAACATGATTTTGACGATGGAAACAGCCAGTAAAGATTATTTTGCATTTGCTCATCCAAAACAGAAGAACGTGGCTTAAGATATACACCAGACCATCAATCTAAAAAGAATACCAAAAAGTAGAGGTAGTCCTCAGCTTACAACAGTTCATTTAGTGATCATTCAAAGTTACAACGGCACTGAAAAAAGTGAATTGTGACTTACAAATGTTGCAGCATCCCCATTGTCATGTAATTAAAATACTTGGCAACTGACTCCTATTGGTGATGGTGGCAGTGTCCCCATGATCATCTTTTGCGACTTTCTGACAAGCAAAGTCAATAGGGAAACCAGATTTGTCAGAATATTCATGACTGGCAGAGACATGGTAACAAGGTCAGCCAATGAATAGGCCATGATGGTGAACCTATGGAGCCATATTTGGTGGCATGCCAGTTGTCAGCTACAGCGTGCATGTGCACACCGGCCAGATGATTTTTCACCCTCCCCAGCTGTGCTGGCTGGAGGATGCTGGGAGTTGAAGTCCACAGGACTTAAAAGTCCTCAAGGTTGAGAAACACTGTCCTAGACCATATGGTGTGATCCAAGAAACAGCTGCCGTTTTGGGGCAGCCACACTGAACCCTTGAGTGCTTTGAAAATGTTGGTCACTTCCGAGCTCATGCCATGCAACCTGGGGTACAAGCTCAGCTTCTCTTCACACCAGTTTTGGACTGCTGCAAACACCCGTGGACCTTTCTGGAGCATGCAAAGGTGAACAACTATTTGGGTGCTGCAGCAGCGACTGGTTCATAAGTAACATGTGGTTGGATGTCCACCCGAACAGTCACTACATGACCGGTGGTAAATTAAAACACCCATAATTCCTTTTGCTCAATACAGAAAGTCAACAATTTTGTTGCTAGTTGCGAAGTTGTTTTTGACCCATCGCAACCCCATGGACAACGTTCCTTCAGGCCTTCCTGTCCTCTACCATCCTCTGGAGTCCATTTAAGCTCACACCTACTGCTTCCATGACTCCATCCAGCCACCTCATTCTCTGTCCTTCTTCTTTTGCCCTCAATCTTTCCCAACATGAGGCTCTTCTCCAGTGAGTCCTTCCTTCTCCTTAGGTGGCCAAAGTACTTGAGTTTCATCTTCAGGATCCGGCCTTCCAAAGAGCAGTCAGGGTTGATCTCCTCTAGGACTGACCGGTTTGATTGCCTTGCAGTCCAAGGGACTCGCAGGAGTCTTCTCCAGCACCATAGTTCAAAGGCCTCNGAGGCCTCTTCTCGTGGGAACTCTGGCTGAACATTTTCCCACAGTCAATACACTGGAAGGGGGTCTCCCCCGAGTGGGTTCGCACGTGTTGCTCCAAAGACGACTTGTCTGCAAAGCTTTTCCCACACTCCGAGCAAAGATAGGGTTTCTCCCTTGTGTGAATCCTCTGGTGCCTGCTCAGGTTGGAGCTGAGGCTGAAGGCTTTCCCGCAGTCAGAGCATTTATGGGGCTTTTCTCCGGCATGGATTCTCTGGTGGCTCACCAAATCCAAAGCCTGCGCAAAGGTTTGCCCGCACTCCGTGCAGATGTTAGGGTTCTGCCCCGACTACCTTCTCTGGGGGGCAGTGGTGCCCTTTCGCTTCCTGGCCCTTTTGTTGGGGGTGCCCACTTTCCCTTTCTCCTCTCCCAAAAGCAGGCTCTTCTTCTGCTCTTCCAACTTCCACCGACTCTTCAGGCGTCTTTTATGGGTGGATATCTGAGGAAGTTTTCCTCTGGACCTTTTTGGAGGCATCATGAAACGGAGAGCTCTTCTTCCAGGTCACACCTGCATTCCCATAACCTGTTCAAAGACAGCAACAACAAATCACAAAGCCGCATAAATTCCAAACAAATATTTGTGTCGAAAACAATACAGGTACCATATTGTTTGGAGTATCAGACGCACCGGAATATAAGGCGCACCAAGATTTGAAGAGGTACATTTGGGGGGGGGGGAAAGGTTTTGCATTCTTGCAGACCTCCCAAATCCTCTGCACGCCTTGTTTTTTTGTGAAAACGGCATGCAGAGAGTTTGAGAGGCCTGCAAAGTACTCCTGGGGGCTGCGGTGGGGGCAAAAACAAGCCATGAAAGCCAGTTTTTTGCCCAAAAAGGGGGCATGCATAACCTTTAGGAGGCTTGTAGAGTGCTCCTGGGGGATGGGGGGGGGGACCGAGCAAAAAACAGCCCATTTTCCACTCGTTTTTGCCCTCCCCAGCCCCCAGGAGTACTTTGCAGGCTTCCCAAACCCTCTGCAACTCCCCCCCTGCAAAGGGGGCAGAGTTTCAGGAGGCCAAAAATGTTGTATTCAGTGTATAAGACACACCCAGATTTTCACCCTCTTTTTGGGGGAAGGAAAGGTGTGTCTTATGCTCCGAAAAATACGGTAATCCTCGACTTAAAGCCATTCATTTAGTGACAGTTTGAATTTACAATAGCACTGAAAAAAACATTTTTTCCCACTTATAACCACTGCAGCATTCCCCTAGTCCAGGGGTCAGCAAACTTAAACACTCAAAGAGCCATTTGGACCAGTTTCCCACAGAAAAGAAAACACCGGGAGCCACAAAGGTCCTAACCGAAAGCCCCCTGTTCAGTTCTGGAGCTGACCGGAAGTTCAGTTCCCCCACCATAGAGTCTCCTCCTAGCGCAGCATCCTTTTTCCTCTACCTGTCATAACCGAAAGCCCAATCAATTGTGGAGACAACTGGAAAACCCTCCCCTTNGCCTGCAGTGCTGCATTTAACCACTGCGCCACCTCGGAAGAAAGTGTTTGTGAAAGCCCCTTATGAATGGGACATAGAGGGACACCATCCTTTCTGCTCTTTTGTGCAATATTGCTTACCCGAAAAGGGAGTAGCATGAAGGTTATATACGTATGTCTTAATTATCCAAGATGTGAGCCCCTAAAATAAGGGTGGGCAATTAATTTTCCCAAGGGGCCACATGAGAAACTGGACTGTCATGGAAGGCCAAATCAATAGGGCTGTGAAGGTTCATAGGTGTGCACGCACACACATACCATAAATTGAAAATAATTAGTAGTCATCTTCAAAATACAGTAAAAAGTAACGCAATTGTATTGTCTGCAGGGCATACACTATTTCAGGCCTGTCAAACTCGCAGCCTGCAGGCTGGTTGCATCATGCGCTGGTCATGCCCACATGTCCTGATACATCATGTGACACTACCATGACAATGTAAGTTTGACACTCCTGCACTATTTGATTTTTAATTTCCAATTGAAATTAGAAGGGTCCCGACAGAGACAGCCGAACCAGGAGTTGTAAGATGCCCAGATCTGCCCAAGAAGCACATTCGATGCTGGAATTTAGAACAGAAAAATAGAAAGAGGCAGCCTGAACATAATAAGTTGGATTTTATTTTATTTTTAAATTTTTCATTCACCAGGGAAATGCTTAGATACTATGCCGATTAAATTATTATAAATCTCCATTCACTTTAACAGCATGATTGCTTTAAAATTATATCACGTTACCTTTTTGGGGGGAGGGGGGAGAAGTGACTCACACGGACACACACACACACATCCCGAGCTGTGCTCTAAATTAATGGTAGTCACAATGGGGAGCAGGTTTCAATACCCACCAATCCAGAGCCCCAGGTTCCCCCACTGATCCCTTGTGAGATCCAGTAAGGTAATCCTCCCTGTGAAGGGAATGTTATTTGGTGTATACAGGTGTATTTATACCTGAAATTGATATGAAAGCTTGCTTTGGAAAACAGATGAGCAGACTGTGGGAAAACTCAGTGCACTGGGAAACATATGGACTATAAACACCTCATGGATGCCCGATGTTCATTCAAGTTCCGTCGTTAAGAACTTAGTGTACCAACTATAGGTAACACTGTGAGTATAGGGGTAAGCAAGAGAGAAACATTTGGCAATAACCTTACTGATTCAGTGTGACGACTCACTGAGTCTGACAGAGTTTAGTATCTGCTGAGAATGTTGGATTATCTTCCCAGACCAGCCTATTTAGTGGGAAAAGTAATATAAAGGATGACTTTATTATGGCGAAGTTTTCATTAGTTATGGGATGGAACATAATCAACTCTTTGCCTTCAACATCTGGTATTTAGTTATACTGCTAGCACTGGACCTGAATTTCCCTCCATTTCTCACAATTGGCAGGCCTTGACTAATCTATCGGGAATGGGAGCATGACATGTCATCTTCCAGACCAGAGTTTCTCAATTTTAGCAACTTTATGAAGCCTGGACTTCAACTTCCAGAATTCCCCCAGCCACCCCCATGCTGGCTGGGGAATTCTGGGAGTTGAAGTCCAGACTTCATAAAGTTGACAAGATGGAGAAATGCTACTCTAAACGGAGCAGCAGGGACTGCTACAAATCGGGAGACCAACCAAATTTGGAGGGAGAAAAGTTCCCTATCACTTAATGGTGATGCATAATCCTTTTAAAAAAGTGAACTAGGCCACAATCGCCCTTTGTGAAACTTATCTTCAGGAGGCAGGTATAAAACCTTTCATAGTTTACTGACTTAGAACAGTGTTTCTCAACCTTGGCAACTTGAAGATGTCCGGACTTCAACTCCCAGAATTCCCCAGCCAGCAAATGCTGGCTGGGGAATTCTGGGAGTTGAAGTCTGGACATCTTCAAGTTGCCAAGGTTGAGAAACACTGATTTAGAAAACCCCATTATTCGGTTCAAATGAGCTTCTGGGGATACAAAGGTTCGTTGCCTTGGTTATCCAAGAATGCAAAAACACAAAAGGAAATGGTGCTTTGGGCACTCAAGTCACTCTCTATGCCATTGCAAAAAATACTTTGGGGTAGAGTTGTGCCAAGTGCTGCAATGACCAACATAATGAATGTTAGACTGCGGGCAGCGCTGCAGTGATATTTCAGAGATTATGCTGCAGACAAAACAGCAGAAACATTTTTGAGGTCAGGCCAAACTTAGAAACAAACAAGTCAAAACACAAACCCGCACAAAGAAAACCAAACCAAAATTCTTACAAATAATGTGAACGCGTTCTAAATGCCCGTGTTAAACAAGAAATTGCTCTCTTGAATATATATAAAAAAACAGAAACAACTGGAATGCTTTGTGAGTTTGTTGTTGTTGTTGCTGTTCTTTTCCCCCTCTATTTGTAGAACTAAGGAAACACTTATCCCTTTCCTTCTCAGTATCATCAGTAATAAACTAAAAAACCTTAATTAACCTGTAGAATCAACTGCTACAATAGATCAAAGGTCCTATCAGATTCTATTAAATGACAAATATTTTCGGAAAGGATACCTACGGAAAGGATAAAAGGTAGCCACAAAAATTATTTTGCTACAGCAAAAAACATTCTTCTACGGACAGCTAATTCCAAACCTTCCCCACCATATTACATATTTTTCATTTTCTGGCTACTTCTGTTAGATCTAGATATGCAGCCCCAGCTGACTTCTATCAACATTATTTGCCTTCTTTTCATTAATTAATCAACACAACTCTCTGGTTAGTAGATCGCTACACATCCCTGGTGGATCTTTTCTTTCTATTTTTCTTCCTCTTTTCAAAATACAGACAAGAACCCGAGACATAGAAGGAACAGCTCTGCCTGCACAAGTGTCAAGATTCAAATAATATTTTCTCCAATCTGAGTAGCAGAGACTGCTAGATGGACCAGAACTTTGTGAGAACATGTATCTGAACATAAACTGGACTTAACAAATGAGAATATATGCAGAAATTAATTATTAGCTCTTCTGGACATTCCAACTTTGTCCTGAAGGCTGCAATACTTAAAATAAAAAAGTGTCAGAAAAACAGGACTCAGGTCCCCTAGGAATTTTGGTAAGATTCTTCATGGGGGAATAAATGTATCTATATGTGACCTGCTCACCACAAAAAAAGTACAAATATCCTCCATTTCATTACATATTGCATTCATATGTTTTATGGTCCGCTAATCCAGGTGTGTTGAGTTATTTTCAGATTCCACCTTGCTTAGTTTGGTTTTTAATCAGTCTGTGTGTACATGTGACACCCACCTACACAGACATATATGTACACACCTCCTCAGTCTCCTGGGTGAGCAACTGAGGGAGTCTCTGGCCTGGAGAAGTCCAAGCACCATAGCCACACAACAGTCTCTTTAAAGTGCCAACGCACAATTTGTCTTCCTGTCATTAGAGAATTGTGACCATCTTCAGCTGCTGGACGTCCATTCCTAATTGCCAAATGAGGAGAAAGAGCAGCAAAGAACAACAGATCCGAGATTTGACAAACATAATTTTTAGAGAGGCCTCAAGGGAATTCAACCCACTCAGCTAACCAAAACAAGAGATCTGGAGGGGGGGAAAAATCTCAGTCCATCAAAACATAGGTTTCACTAACTTGAAACTTCACTAACTCCTTCTAATTTAGCAGATGGTTGCAGGGCGTGTTCAATGACTAGGAAATATTCTCCTCTAAAGCCAAAGACTTCATATAGGCAATTTTACACCTTGCCTACATTACTCCACAGTGTCTTTGCATAGAGACTGGAAGACTTCCCATCTCTCTTCACTTGTGGCCTGGTCCGTGCAATCCAGCTTCTCTCAGTGCAGTCTACCCAGACGTATGTGATTACAACTCCCATCCTCCCCAGGCTGAAGCGGAGGAGGATGGGAGTCACTATCCAGCACACCTGGAGATCCCTGGGCTGAGAGGAAGGCTTGTTTAGGTGAGCCAGAAACAAAGGGAATCAAAACAATGGAATCATCAGGAGGTTCGCTCATAATTAAATAAAATTAGGAGATTGTCAATAAATAAATTGATAGTTTTCCATACAAAAACAGAACTGATATATATATATATATATATACAGGATTTCAAAGTATCCCCAATATTCCTGTGAAGGACCCATTTGAGGAACAACCAAATATCGATATTCTGAAACCCCACCTGGAATTAGGAATACTTCCAAGGCTCTTACCAAAATTCAGCACACTT